TATAGCTGGTATAACTGACCATAGACAATTCAGATCGATCAGATTCAACGGCTCCTAGGGGTGCGTCTGTTCACATTTCAATGTTAAATTCAGTTAAGCACGTTTTTTACGTCCGCGGAATTTATAGTCTGCGTGATGTCCGTGCGTATCTGAGATGTGACCTTGCCCTAAGGTTGAGCCAATTGGGTCATTCAAGTCAAACCCGTAGGTTGAACCTCGGCCAAATAAGTGACCAGGCCAAATTTGCCCTAACTTGTCGTGAACTCCCACCCCGAGTTGACCACCTTAGGCTTGGGAGTGGGGGGCAATTGATGAGGGGTAATTTGGAGCAACCTGTTGATTAGATTATATCTTAGCATTTCCAAACACCTCAGTAGGCCAGGTCAGTTCTGTCACCTCGAATACCTCAGATAAGACCTAGGTCCGAGTAGCTTGTCGTGTCCCGACCTGCTAAGGTGCCACATTCTTCTAGAAGGGAGCCAGCTGTCTCTGATCTCTTCAGGATCATGTCATTCGTCAGTAGGGCTTATCTATATCCCGCCCAAATCGGACGAACCTGGCTGGGTAAGCCTTATCCACTCGCACAGGGCTCACATTCGGGTATGGAACAGGCTCCTAGTCTGGCAGGTCGACGATCTTGGAGGTATTTCGTGAGACTATGGAAGCTCACCGATATAAAGGGACCACCATCATCCTTTTGAGGTACATACGATTTAGCTCTCATACTTACAAGCAATCTAGCTCGCTACAAGTTCTTCACTAACTTTAGCATTGGAGTGCCCACATTAGGTAAAGTACCCCAGGACCTCTGATATCACTTTCTTGCAGTTCGACTGACCACCTAGAAGACCGACGTTCGTGCTACCATCCAGCAGGGAGCAACCAGATTGCACATCATCAGTTTTCTCTTAGGCATGAGTATGATCACAAATCACCCCGCTAGATATATGGCAACAACTTACTAATTATTAGGGATGATCATTTATGATCCGATCGGGCTCAACCCACAAATTTCTAGGCTTGGGCAGCCATATTTTTGTCAAGCTCGACCCGACTTAGACCTGCATCAAATCCACACACAATGTGGGTGGGCTTGGGCCAAGAAAGTCTTAGCCTCAGCCCAGTCCAAAAATTATTGTATATATACTATATAGTATTATATCTTATATATATGCATAATATCCTGCATTTTTTTGGTAATAATGCAGCATCATACATACACGTTATAATATTTTACTAAACATATCTATATATAAATGTAGAGGTGTCAATTGGACGGATTTGGTCCAACCCGATCTAGTCCAATGTGAGTCCACTTATAAATGGACTAGACCCAATACAGTCTAAATCCAATCCAATCCATTAAAATGTAAATGGATTGGATTGGGTCTAATCCAAACCGAATGAAATATCAAAAAGGGTAAATTTTTTAAACTACCCCTATTGTTTAGCTAATTGACTAACTATACCCCTACTGTTTAACTATTGTCTTACGCTAATCATAACAGAAGGGATGGAAATGTCCATTTTATCCTTAGATAATTTTCTCTCTCCCTCTCTCTTCCTCGTTGAATTGAGTTAAAATGATCATGCCGAGCTACTCATCTTCTTCAACCCTTCGATAGCCTCTCTGTATCTGTCATCTGACAACCAACCAATAGTTTTCTTTTCTTTTGGGGTGATGAAATTTTACCCTTCTATTAAATCCCATCCTTCCATTAACACCTCGAAGTGCATTCTCACTAATTTTGGCTTCGTCCTCCATTTTAGAGACCACTCCTCCCCCCCCCCTTTCTTCAATGCCTTCTCCAATCTAAATCCTATTTTCAGTCTGTGTCGATGTCTCCACCTTCAACAACCTACACATTACCAATGATATAAGAGATGTAAGTGTACTAAACCACATCGATGGTAGGACTTCCAGTCTCTGAAAATTGTAGAGCATTGAATATTGAATAGTTGCAGCAACTGTCAATCCTCCACCTCCTCTAGAAAGGACTTGATGCCAGAAAAGTCCTTGATGGTCAATCTTTGAAGACACGTAAGTTTGTGTAATCTAACACCTATTGGAAGGATTTCCTCATTCTTCTCATTGCATCCGCTGATTGTATGTACTCTTAGGCTGTTGATAGGCAACCCCCCACCAGGGAAGCTCATCAATCGAGGATATCCATGTGTAAGATTTCAAGAGATGTAAAATTGTTCATCAATTCAAGTAAGGATTCAAGTTCTTTACATTCTACCATCTACAAGCATACTGCTTCGTGCATTCAGGTACAGAAGCAACGGATCTCCGCCCACACTATCTTTGGGTGTAAAGATTTCCACAGCCCATATTGGGAAAAAATTTACTCCCATCTCCTCACATCTCCACCTCATTGGTTCAGGTACAAAAGCAATGGTGAGTCCTCACGACAAAAGCAACACAACTGTTGTTGCTGCGCCAGAATAGTCTAAGCTATTCGAGCTATCATTTTCTTCTCACCCAGCACAGAGTACAGTAATGCCTCGAACCCCATCAGGTTTCGATTTCGGTTTTGCACCACAAATCACAGAATAGAAAAATCTAAAATTACCAACAAAAAATCGGAAAAATATTAAGAGAAAATAGCACTTACACTTGGGTTTCTTACCTGGGTGGATAATTTTCTACAGCCAAGAATTCTGCAAGGCGGACACCGATTTGGGTGGGTTTGGAACAACCATATTCTAAATACAGAGAACACCATCGAGAGGCCTGTGGCCTCTAGAATCAAAACAAGGAGGAACTTTTGATGAATTTGAATCCATCAACAGATGAGTTGCAATGGTGGTGATGGAATAGGGGAAGGGATTGAGAGAGAGAGAGAGAGAGAGAGAAGGGTAATGTTGGGTTTTGAAAAAAAATTATAGGTCATGTGGGGTCACATGTGCACAGATCGTGTCGGAGCATTAACAGATGCTAACGGTAGGGGTAGAGCTAGCCAATTGTCAGAAACATTAGGTTTAGCGTTAAACAATAGTGAAACAGTAAGGGTATACTTAATCAATTTTGTAAACAATAACGGTACTTTAAGAAATTTACCCTATCAAAAATTATATAAAAGCACTTTTAGCATTTAAAAAGCACTTTTGTAAAAGTACTTTGATAAAAATTTTTTCATAAAAGTGCTTTTACAAAAGCACTTTATTGAAAGTACTTCGGATGTAAAAGCACTTTTCGATAAGTAATTCCATAGACTTTTATAAAAGTACTTTCGTAGAAGTGTTTTTGTAAAAGTGCTTTCATAAAAGTGATTTTCTAAAAGTGCTTCCATAAAAGTGCTTTCATAAGTGTTTTTATAAAAGTGCTTTCGTAAAAGTACTTCCATAAAAGTTTTTTTGTAAAAGTGATTTCATAAGTGTTTTTATGTAAAAGTACTTTTGTAAAAGTGCTTTTATTAAAGTGATTTTGTAAAAGTGCTTTTATAAAACTACTTCTGTAAAAGTGCTTTTATAAAACTACTTCTGTAAAAGTGCTTTTATAAAAGTACTTTTGTAAAAATGCTTTCGTAAAAGTATTTTTATGAAAGTGCTTTTGTAAAAATGCTTTTCATAAAATCACTTTTATAAAAGTACTTTTATAATTTTATGTTGTTTTCAGTTTTGATTGATTTCAAATTGGACAAGGGTTTGCCCTCATGATCTGATTATTGAAAATTTGGTTTAGGTCTAATTCAAACCAATAAGAATATGGACCAATTTATTTTAGATTGGCACAATCCAATAATTATAATGGACCATCCAAATCGGATTTTATAAGGTTTGAATCGAATTGGATCCAAACCAAAACCGGTCAATTGACACCCTATATAAATGTAGTATGTATAGCATGTATATATAACATACATGATATATAAGGTATGTATATTAATACATATATAATAACTTTTAAAATGTGTGTATGTGTGTGTTTTTTTATAACTTTGAACATAAAGCTAAATTAAAATTTTAGCTTTAATTAATACCTGGCTCGAGACCAGGCTGGTCTTGGATAGGCCTTAATATTGTTGATACCTTATAAAAACCAGACCCAAGCCCAACATTACCCAACCCATGATCATCCCTAGTAATTATCCAACACCACTACAAACTTGTTGGTTTCATAGTTTGATGATTTGATCATAAACTTGCCAATATTTTTTAAACTTTAACTTAACTTATTTTTTATTTTTTGGCAAAATATCCATTTAAGGTCTTAAGTTATTGATATTACATACTAGTCATAATTAAGGTTCAAAATATCAATATGCCTGATACGCCGGTATGGATGTATCGGGTGAATCAATACCCTTTTCTTTATATTTTATTTATTTTTTTCGAAACAGGTTCAGGGGGGCTGGTTTAGATCTCCTCCACACCTTGAACGATACGTATCGACTAATACGGGTCGATACGTGTCAATACTTTGAACCTTGGTCAAAATAAGTAAGAATATTTATTATGCATTAAATGTCAGTTTATCAGTTGATAAATAAAATTCCAATAAATAGTTCTCCTAAATTTTATAATTTATATCAAGGGGCTATTTGGTTTGCTTCCAAATTCAGAATAGAAATTGGGATCAAAATCACAATCTAAATGATCTATTCTCACAGCGTATTTGGTAGACATGAATTGAAATAAACTGGAATAAGATATCATTCCCAAAAAAGGGGAGAGAAGAGAATGGACATTCCTTTAAATGAGAAATGCTATGGGAATGAGATGATACTGCCCAACCAAACGGTTGGAATCGGATTGTCGGAATGGGCCATTCCGATTCCGATCCAGACCCTACTACTCCCACGAACAAAACGGGCCCAAATTCTCAGCATTTTTATATTACTTTTAATCCCCCAAAGTAATTGTGATTTGTGAATTATGATATTAAGGTTGGGTTGGTTAGGTTAAATCGGCCATGACCCGATCCAACCGGCCAACTGTAGAAGCTGCACCTATTCTTGTCTGTCTTTTTTAAGGCTGCCAACTGTAGAAGCTGCACCTATTCGTGTCTGTCTCCTTGAAGGCTTGAACTAAAACCCTTTTCTTTTTGGTTAGTCGGTCTTGAAGGCTTTGACCTAGGACTCCTGATTCCCAAACTCCCCAACTTCGCTAACTTTGGAAGTTAGGATTTTTCCTTTCTCCACCTCGCTTCTCAACCTGCAAAAGCTGTGTAGGGTTTGTTGCAGAATTAGTTAAAATCTCTGAAAGGCCATACTTTTCGGTAGGACGTCATGGCTAAGAACAAAAACAAGAAGGAGAAAAATGGTGCTGCTCCAATGGACTTCTCAGCGGATGCATCTGGAGATCTCCCTCAAGGTGCATACTTTCTCATTCTGAAGTTTTATTTAGTGCATCCAATTTACATTATTTTTCTTGATTTGAATTTGTGAATTCATCTTAAAGTGCAATCCTATTCAGATTGCAAGGTGGTTTCGTTCGTTTATGTTGAAAAGGCTTAACGTTTTATAGTAGGATTCTTTTGCAATAGACGTGCTTGAAAAACTTGAATTAGAGTTCGTATACATTCCAATTCAAGCTCTCTTGAGTCGCAGTCGAGTAGGTAAGTACCTTCAAAATTTCTCTGGTTTGGTATATCGTCCTAGGAAAGTTTCAAATTATCCGGTAACCAACGATGATATATAAGCTCTAAGTTTCTTCTGATGTGCAAAGATGGCTTAGAAAACACATTCCTTTTTTTTTTTATCAATAGAAAACACATTCCTTCACCAATAAGTTGGGCATTGTTGGCACAAGGCACCTCCATATGTAGACCTATACAAAATCATATACGTAACAATGAAATTGAATCCTAACCACAGTATTCATCCAACTCTAAGGATCAACTTCCGATGCCCATTATACTAGGACCTGCTTTGGGGACAACCTATTTGCTTATAGGCTTTTCATGCAATATCTTCCCTTAATATCTACTGTCTATAATTTACACACTAATGTAAATGATTCATATTTAATATCCGTCACCTTTGTATCTATGAGAGTTTGTTAGTTTTATATTATGATATCTCTTGCTCCTGCTATTATTCATTGAGAGATATATCCTCTTATGGCCCTCTGCTTAGATTGGTAGTAGGGGCGCTATAATTTTCTCTGTACTCTGCAGTTCCTTTTGCAATCTGTTGGGCTGTCTGGAAGGAGAGCAACTATATGTGATAACCTTGAAAGGCCTTTTGGTGTGCACCTTTGTGTGGATGTCAGTAAATTTTTGATGGACTAGTATTTTGTTCTCAATGAGTTCAGATCATTCAAAAATAGGGATTTCCTCTATGACTGTTTAACTATGTTGGGTCTATAAGTGGTATACAGCTCTTTTAGCCGTTGGGCCTCTTCCAAAGAAAAGCACTGAGATTTGGTGAAAAGATCAAGAAAGAGGATATGAAGTCTAAATTGAAGAGCTATTTAAACAAATTTTATGAAGTGTTCTTTTTTTGGTAAATTTATGAGATTATTACATGTCCTGTTGCTTATCATAATTTGTTACGTGCTTCACCAATATGCCAAACCTTAAGACTATAGGAAAGTGTCATGCAAAGCACTTTTACCATTTAGAACTGTAATATACCACCATACATCCGCAGCTGACGTCTCGGTGTCTTCATCCTCGAGGACCTTGACATCTCTCACTCTAGCTGTAGGTAGCCCTTCCCTTTGGCGGCTCTCACAGTCTCACTCTGTTCCAGGTAGACAACTTCCTTGGTGGTTTGACTTAGATAGTAGTTGTGTGACTTTTCCAGAGCTTTATGTCCTTTGACCTCTCACTGTGTCTGTGTGTTTGTTGTATCTGGAAAGAATAGGATAAGACAAATTGAAAGGGAGAAAGCTATAATAGCGAACCTAAAAGATCAAAATTGTGTCCAATTAATTGTAAAGACAGTGTGCATTTGGGACATATGTCTCAGGTATTATTTATATAGATCTTGCACTGAAAGTGACCTCTGCTATGTTCTCAGGCCCAATTGGAGTGGGTGACTTCCTTAGAGCTGAGATATGTGCAGTTATGGAAGGAGCCCGAAAAGCCAAGGAATTGAACATCAAGAAACTTATAATTGAAGGGGATTCAGAGGTGGTGATAGGGTGGCTGACTAAAGATCAAAATGATTTATGGAAGTATAATAATGAGAAGAGGAAATT